AGGAATAAATTTTGATATATTGCACATATAAGTAAAGAATTAAAAGCTCCAAAAAAGGTAATCCATAGTTTGTAGTTGAGCTATGCTTACATCTAATAGTTTAAAAGGAACTATATCTGCTGTGATTGAGGACTATAGTTGAGGGTGTAAATATAGTGAAATTATATAAGTGATATAAACAATTTGTCTGTCAAGAATTTAATTTGTAATTTAAAATTTCTACAGAATATATCTAATCCTATTTAATATTTAAAATATCATTGTTATATATTGAAAATAATTAATTACTTCAGATGCAAGAAAAATCGGGAAAAATCGGTAAAAATACAAAACTATTAAATTTTGTTTTAATTTTCGTTTATAGAAAGAAGACCAGATTACCCGATAATGTAACTTAAATGTGTAATAAATATTTGTTTTATTATATACGTATATTTGATTCTTATATTTGAGAATCAGTTTATGGACGTTCCAATATTTTAACGTATATTATGTTACCGTAGACATATATACATCTTCATATTTTTCCTTTTTTTTTCTAAAATATATTAGTGTACAAATTCGCAATGTTAAACAAAGTCTATGATGCGTTTATAGCGAGTTCGAGGATCTCGTTAGAGCGTTTAAGTATCGATGATCGATTTGATGACTAGCTTCTGGATAACGACCCACAATACTAATAAATTTATTTTAGAAATTTCATACTCATTTTTTCAATTTTTAATCTTCTGCTGGATGCTTTTTTAGAGTTAAGGTTTCATATTTTTTAATTATTTTTCATATTTAAAAAACAAAGACATATTTTCCCACTAACGTTTTTTTTAAATAAACTATTTTCTTTACTCCAACTATTGACACATAACTGATTTCGTATTCTTTGTCACAATTTCAGGGAAAGTCTAAATCAAATCTAAATAATTTCCCATTAGGGAAATTAAGTAATATTAAGATTATCCCATTAAGTAATATTAATATAGAGACGCAGATCTTCAGAAATAAAAACCAAATATATTAAAACTATTGCATTAAAAACAAAATATTTAATATTCTTGACGTCAGACTTACAATACACAGAAGCAGATAAAAAGTATAATTATCTGCAAAAAGTATAATTTAAACAATTGTAATAAATAAATTCAGAAAAAACTACCTTTTAAATATTATGTTCTCATGAAACTATTATTATTGTGGTGGATAGTAGTGGAAAAATTTTAAAGTTCAATATTTTAAGGTAATTAATTTAATTTTTGGGCTGACTATACAAAAGTTTCGAATACTGTCAAATATCTCTTAACATCGAAATTTGGAAATATCTACTGATGTCATTGTCCATTTATAAATTTGTCGACTGTTAGAAATCTAGAATCTAGAAATTTAATCCTATAAAGTTCAAACTGTGAACACACAAAGCCAATCTAAACTTGTTGTGCTCACGCATAGACCTGAGATATACCAATTCGGTTAACTATAATAAATGATTATTTTATTAAATTGGACACTATAATTTGTAGAAAGCATCTCCGCGTCTTGCATTCTGTAAACCTACTATGCATCTTGTCGAACTCGACTGTCATATCTCCTCATAAATTTTCTAATCACCATTATGTCTTTGACAAGAATTATATTTCTAGAAATGGGAGGCTTGAGAATCACCCTCCTATTATCCCACTTTTTATAAGAAATAGCGTTCCTATTATAGACCGTACAAATTTAAATAAGCAAAATATTTTAATATCTATTTTTTAACTCAATAATGGCTTACAAGGTTTTGTCTCCTGTAAGGGCCGTCTACATTTTCTTCTTCTAACTATTTCTTCTTACTAATACATTAACAAAATACTTTATGTATGTGTATGTACACTATGGTATACACACTTCTTTAAGGCTGTTGATATAGAAAGATAAATCGTGTCTCTCTATAAAACCCAAGCATAGAATTTGCTTAACATTGCCAAAGTCGTATGCAATTTTTTTTTTAATTTTGTTATATATAATAAAATTTCTGAATAATAATGTTTTTATAATTTTTGTTTCTTATTATGTCTAAATTTAGTTGTTTTTAGGAGCTTTCGTATTTTGTATTTAAAATCTTTTTAAATTTTGTTTCAAAATTTATTCCTTATGAAATATTTTCATTTATGTTCTTTTTTAATAAATCTTATTTCATTTTAAATTTTAGTTTAGAAAAATATTTTGAAATAATTCATTAAAAATTAATTTTGGGTGGGGTTTCATTAAAAATTTATATAATTTGAATAATATTTTTTTTAATTTCCTTCATATTTCATATTTTCATATTTTCATATTTTTAAACATAAAATATGCAAAATATTTTCAATTTTCTAGTTTATTAAAATTCATGTTTTTTCTTTTGCTCTGTTAAATAAAATGTTATGTATACTTTTGGCTTTTTTTCTATTTATTAAATGTTTAACGATCATTATTATTTCAATTACATATGATAATATATATTTTGGTATTTTCATTTATTTATTTTTTGTATATTTCCGGTCTGTACTTTTTGTTTTAGTTTATTTGTAATAAGGCAACTGCATTTTTACTTTTTTGTTCTGAAAACTGTAAATTTTGTATATTCAAGAAGTTTTTTCTCTCATTTAATTTATTCATTGTTTTATATATATTTAAATATATGTATTGCTTTATATTATAACTGTATTTGTGTAGATATTTTTTAGTTGCCAATTATTTTTGTTACGTTTTCTATTCTTGTGTTTATTTTAATATTTGAACTTTCATTTAATATTGTTAAACTTAGAAAATTCTTATACTGTTCACATAAATAATATATATAAATTTATATTTGTATTGCCAAAATATTAATTTTTTACTCCTAAAAACAACGAAATATTTTCTATTACAAATTTTGCTGTTTCTAATGAAAATTTTCTTGATTTATTTTACATAATTTTTTTAAGCATATCTTAAGATTTTAATTAATTATTTTTGAAATAATTAACTTATATTTTTTGTCAATTTAGTATACAATTTTAAAATTTTTTGCCAAAACTAATGCAGTTTTTAATTCTATATAATTTATTTTGTTTGTTATTTTTCTTAATAATTTAAATACAAAAATTATACACATTGAACATTTATAACTAAATATCTTATTTAAATAAAAATCAATTAAATATTGCTATTTCATGAACAGTTTTAATTTAGTTCATTATTTCATTTAAACTTTAAAATAAAGTAAGACTAAAATAAAGTACAAGTCGTAAGTGAAATAAAATATTTATGTATTGTTGAAGTGACTTTATATTTGCACTCGTTTCAGATAATGTTCCTCATCCATGGTTGTGAGGTCTGGTTGTGAGTTGGAATGATCTAATATTGCAATTAAATTGTAAAATATTTAAAGTACGAAAAGTATTTATATTATATATATTAATAATTTTTATCTTAATGAAATAAATTTTTCAAATTACTTAAACTAAAAGCATCCAAATAAACTTCTGTTTAGCAAAACTGAAAGAAAAGATATATAATTAACAAAACTTAAATAAATAAAAATATATATAACAATACAAACCAAAATATGTCAGTTTCAAACTGAATTGATTAATAAAAAAAAAAAATGTCGCAATGTACAACTAATGATTTTACGCACATAGACAGAAAGTTTTTTAAAACATTAATGTGGGACATATTAATTAATATATATATATATACTGCTTAAACAACCAAAGTTGTCTTTTAAACCAATACCTGACATTGCTATAAAATGGATATTGAAACGGCTGAACACATTCTCTTTAAATGTTTAAAACTGAAGAATATCAGACTTCTTAGACACAGACTCATTTCCTTACATAATGTATGGAACAAAATAAACTTAAGTTGCTCATAGGAAGCCTAAAAATCGGTGCATAAAATCTTCATGAAAGGCATTACGAATGTATATACATTGGTTAGGATATGATTGGGTGAGGTTGAAGTGAAACAAAGAACGGCTGTTTGAGATAATGTATGGATAAGGGTAAGCCTGGGTCAAGGCGGAGAAATAGACCGTAACCAAAGATCCAATATAATAGTAACAATTTTTTGTTTACAAAATTTTGCATATTTTTAAGGTTTAAGCTTATAGAACGTTTAATATATCTCAAATAGAGAACTGAGTCTAATTTAATGGAGAAAAAGTAATATAATCAACATTAAATTTATTCAGAATTCAGGTATATAATTCAAACGCTGTAAGTATATACATAATTTCATTTATATATATACCTATGTTTCAGAAAACATATTAGGGACCATCTTAAATTATAAACAAACAAAAACGGTTTTTTTATATATTACATTATAGAATAAAATTCTAAAAAAAGAAATTATGCCTTGATGTGCGTTATGGAAGTAATTTTACTCAATTCCTTTGTAGTCTATGTTTTAAGAATACTAGTAGCTGTTTGAGTTAACACTAACGGAAAACATTTGTATTGAGCAAATGATAGCTAACACTGTTCCAATAATAAACTTAGGAGAATTTCAAATTAAAAATATATTCAAAATATATTTTAAGAATTTAAGATGAAAAATAATTTAACAATCTTCCTATATAAATAAAAATAGAAAATTTTTTAAAAGTAATTTTAATTTACAAATGTGAAGTGAAAGAAATTGAAACAAAAGTAGAGAATTCATAATAAAACTTAATAAACTGTTTGCAATTTATTATGCAAATGTGATTTTAACAAATTTAATAAAAAACCTAAGAACATAAACAATTTTATATGTAATTTTAATTAAACAATTAAATATAAGTAATAACATAGTTAAAATAATGGAATCCATAAATAAATTGCTGCACATTATAGTTTAGTTAGTTATTTTTAAATTTGAAAATAAACTTAATATCATTATTAAAGAATTAAAAAAAAAAAACAAAATAAAAGCAATTAATTTCAGATATTTAAATGAGGCGAAATTATTAAGCAACATTGAAATTTTTCATAAAGACAACAGATTTCAAGATACAAAAAAATTATTAAAATATATGAATCTCTGTTAAAATTACGAGTGAAAAAATAATAAAGAAATATATATATTAGCTTTAAATTGTAAAAAGTTCAATTAAGTTGAGGATTATTAAAACCCCTAGCATTTAAAATTTGCTTAACTGCAGATGTTCACAGTCGCATTAAAGCTCGGGTTCCAAGCAAAAAACAAAAGTCAAATACAGCGCTTAAATAAGTTTCTAAGCGTATGATTATCGTTATTGACCAGAGTACCTTTTTAGGGTTTGCTTTTAAAGGGTTTAATAGCTGAAAAAGGCGCTAAGTTAATTTCTGGCTTTGAATTAATTAATCACTTTTAATTATCAAAAATAGCATCTACTCAGGTATGAACCGAAGTTTTAGAACGCTTGCCAATCTTTGGCACAAAGAATTCTTAATGTTTTTTAACATTTATTTTACGTCACATTTTTACTAAATTATAGATCAATAATAACAAGATCTATTAAACATTTTTGATAATTTATTTGACTTACATATCCAATGTCTTGGCATATGCTTTTTATACAAAAAATAAAGGTCTAATACATTTTTGTGTCGCTCATATCTGAATTTTGCCTGCTTAAAAATACAGTTCATTATTATTTGAAAATGTTTTAACATTTATATTTGCTACAAAAATAATTGTTTAATATTTTAGAGAACAAGAACAATATAATTTTCATTCCTTTCGTTCCTTCATTTTTCATTATCTTTAAAATTAAAATAACCACTAAAAAAGTACATAAAATGCGTAGAAAACAGGCCGCTGTCTTCTAATGGAATTTGCGTTTCTTGCCACCGCGTTTCTTGCCCTTGCTCTTTAATTTACGTTTTTTACTACCGCCAGTGGACAAGCTATCGCCACGTAATGATGCATCCCGGCTAATTTCTCCAAGTATTTCGTCGCCAAGGGTTGCTAAAAAATTTTGTTTTATTAAAATTATTTTAGTGGTCATCATTGACTAGAAATCATGTATTCGTCTTAAACTCACCCAATGTGGTCAATTTACGCTGACGGTGTTTTTCAGCTTTGGTCACTGGCAAACGTGTCAAATAGGTTTCCTCATATTCTTGCTTCTCCTTATTAGCTTTGGACAGAATTTGTTGTGCACGCGAACCAGATGATATTTCAGTTGGTACATCCAAATATTCTTCCTTAAGATCTTGCAACATGGATGAACTAGAAGAAAAAAATAAATAAATAATATATTGAATTATATCTTATATAAGAAGTATCAATATACTTCTGATACTTCCGTAGGTTGTAGTTGTTGTTAGAACTCAGTGGGATCTAAAAAGCTAGCATAGAAGGGTCAAATGTTACTGCATGGGATACGATGGGAATGGTAAGGCGAACACCCTTAAATAATAAGGCTTAAAAGAGGAAAAGGGTGACTAAATGGATGGGTTGAATTTTGAAATTAATCTGGGTTAGATAAAAGAATCTTTCCATCGCAATGTGGCGGAGCTATGAAATAATATGACAAATGAAAACAGACGATTGACATTATGCGGAGTAGAGCTGCAGTTGGGGCGCATATTAGAGATAGTGATTTGGTTATTATTGGTTCAACAATAAGGAAATACTTACAAAAGCGACGGCTTAAAAACAATTATAGAAAAAAAAAACAAATTAGCTAAATAGTTTGATATGAATTGAAAGGCAAAAATATAAAAAATGCATAGAGATATATTACCGATCTATGTCAAAAATATTTTGAAAATTAACACATGAATGTTTTAGAGTTAGCGAATAGCTGATTCTCGATTATATTTAAGAACAAGTAAACAAATTATGCAATTAAAATGGGGAATAATTGTGACAGACACCTCAAATAATTTTAAAAACTACGGAGTTTATTAAGCTAAGATTGCTTCAGTAATATTTGCAGATCAGTGTGTTTCCTCGACTTTATTTCTATACCACTCCACACGTAGGGGTTTGAGTTTGTTTTTAAACGCATCATTAATTATCTGAACATAAAATTATGCAAGTGCGGTTTAAGCGATATAAGAAATATGCGTTATAGGTGTGTCATTTGAAAACCCACAAAGTGTTTTCACATCACATGATATGAACTACGATTTAAAATATGGCAACAGTTTGAATAAAAAGAAATCTTAAAACTTCCTATTCCTAATTTTGATTAATGGCTTTTTTAAAGCTAAAAATACAATCCCAAATTAATTTTAAAAAATTTGTGTCTTAACATGTAAGTAAAATTGTATAAAAGCAATGAATGCTAGTTTATTCAATTGATTACTAGCAATTAGTCCCCTACATACACCCAAATTCCTTCGTCTCATTCCCAATCTTCCCTATTGATCATTTAATATATTCCATAAAATAATAGACTTAATAAAACAATGAACCGAATTGAAAATATGTATGTTTACAGTAGAGCTATGCTAAACCGGATCCAATAATGTAGGGGTTAATCTGAATTACCTGTATCTCGGTAATTCGGTCTAGATTACAGAAGTCATATTAGTAAATTCAGAAAACGTTTTCAATATATTTATTTTGACAACAATAACTAAATATAAACTAATATTGAAAACTGCTAAATTTATGAAATTTTAATATTATGTATAAACCAATTTAATAGATTCTCTGCAATTTGGTTTCATTATAAGTACTTAGATGTTTTGATTGCAAATATTGTTGTTTATGTTATGGTAGATCGTATTATTTCTTATATTTAATACATCCATTTTAAATATCAGACTAATGCAATCATCGTATCAAATTTGATCATTCCTGATTATCGAACCAGTGGTCAATCCTGATAACAAGACCTATAATGCAAAATTTATATTTTCTAATTATGCTCTAAATATGATGAGTTCAGATTGCCAGAGAACTGGAGTGGCGTCGATCTACTCTTACCAAAAAAAATATGTGACTTACGTTATGGCACGCTTTTTGGCACGTTCAATTAGCTTTTTATCCTTATCCACTGATTTCTCATCTCCATCATAAAAAACTGGCTTGATTTTAGGCGGCACATAGATACCAGCTTTGGCTGCTGTTGCTGCTTTCTTTGGTTTCTTAACAGAACTACCAGCTTCATCAGCAGAATCATCAGATTCTGAGTCTGATTCACCATCAGAATCTTCACCTTCAGAGCCAATTCCTCCTTCCTCTCCGAGAGTATTTGAAAGCATATTTTCAGGATTTGGCTATTCATAGATAACAACAAGCAAGTTATGATGAATTGTGGAGGTAAGTAAATATCTATATAATGATATTACCTTGTAGAGAATAGGATCTGTGCTGCTTGTTACTCCTGTTGTAGCGGTCTTGACCAGCTTATCAATTTGGTACCGTAACTTGTAATCAATGGGTCGTATTTTCTCCAAAACTGTACGTATCTCAATCAAGCGTTCAATGGATGGATCGCCTTCAATGGTCTCTCCAGAACATTTGCGTAACACCACATATGTTAAGTTGATCAAATAATCAAGCAGCATATGATACTTAACCTCGAGAAAACTGAGCCCATACTCTGTGGTCAGTTCGCCACGCTTAACACGTTGCAGCATGCCCTCAACCAAATCCGTAACTTGTTTCACGTTGCTGTTCATCTCACCGAGCAGTTGTATCGCCTGTGGTATGTCCTGCTGCTGGACTTCGCAATCATAATCTAGTGCCTGAAATTGCAAAAAAACAAAAAAAAAATTATTTCAGTTTAATTTTAATTAAAATTGTTGTTTTAAATTATTTTAAAACCAATAGAGAAATAACTAATTTTTATGATTTATTTCTTATTTTTTTTTTGTTATTTTTAAAATGAAAGAGCTGGGTTGTGCAATTTAATTTGATTTAAAATTAAAATATTTTTGGGTCTGAGGTGGTTTTATTAATGAAATAATAAATGAAAATAACAAAAAGCAATTTATGTTAAATTTATTTTAAAAGTGTTTATGTTTAACTCAAAGGACATATACATAGACATATATATGTATCGTGTATATATTTATATATACCATATATATGTGGACAAAAAACATTTGTTATTTTTACAAATTACTTATGAGCACATTTGGCAAATAATATGCTAAATTAAAACGAATTCATTATAATTTGCCTTTTTGTTTTCATGTTTGAACTTAGTTTTAATTTTAATTATTTATTTATTATTATCAGCAATTTTCATTTTTGTGGTATTTTGCACATATGAAATTAATTTAATTTAAAATAAATAACCTCAAGCGGATGAAATTGCTCGTTTATGCGTTTATGCGTTTATGCGTTTTTCGTTGCAGTTTTGCTCTTGGAACCGCAAATAATTACAATTTTATGCATATGTGGCGGCTTATTAATATTTATTGGTATTAATAATAATTATAATGATTTTAATGTAATTTTAGTTGTTGTCCTTTTTGTTGGCGATTGGTTGTTGGTTGTTGGTTGTTGGTTGCTGGTTACTGATGTTGATGCTGATACTTATGTTGATGCTGCCCACTCTAAGCTCTTCGCAATATACCATCCAAGGGGGAGAAAAAAATTTAAATGAAAATAAATAAATAACAACGAGCAATGCATAAATTTGCCAGGAGCCAATGCAGTTATAAGTGCACATAAAAAGGACTATTTTGGTTTGACACAATCCATGTTGGCTTTTCGCCGTTGTTGTTGTTGTTTAGCAGTTGCATGACAACCAAAAACATTTGAAAATGTGCAATAATAAAATGTAAGAGGGAGAAGGGGTGGGGGTTGTACAGAGGGGCTGGGTTGGACTGGACTGGCGAGAGTAATAAAGTATGAAAATTAGTTACGCAGTTACACAAATCACAAATAAACAGAATGGAAACGTACACAATTACGACTCACACGTTATGCTAAGAATCCATAGTGCATGCTCCAATGCACCCACTAACGTGTATATAGTCGCACTCTAACTAACGCACATTTTTCACGTGGCCGCGGAATGCATTTTTAGGTGTCGCCACTGTCAGTTGCTAATACACTTGAGTGCAAAAATTATGCAATACATTTTATTATTGAATTACATATTTAGCGGATTTTGCAAAAGAGAGAATAATCTAATTTGCAAATCATTGCGGACTACCAACTAGCGATAGCAAGCCACTGAACGGGGTGGGGTGGAAGATGCTAAAGGGACGACACATATCTGAAATGATTAACTAAATAGCTAAGCAAGATTTAACATAGGTGTTCCAATAGGAATATATCCCACAATATTGTAAGCTGATATATAACCAAATAATTCGTCTGTCACTTCTATATGGATGAGTAGCGTTTAGCAAAGCCTCAAACACTACTATGCGCCAGCTAGAAATTGCACAAAGCCAGGATCTGAGAAAACTTTTCAAGGTACCATGATACATTAGGACGAATGACATCCTCAGGGACCTCAGGGATAGAGCCCTGAAATTATTCACGAAAACTGACAGACTTGCCAACACCGCGTTATCGAATCTCAGAATGGTTACAGGCTCCTCGGAAAGGTATGCAGATCTAAGGTCAATTTTTGCTTAGTCTGATGAAGTGATAAACAATAATCCAGTCAGGGCGTAGAGAGGGGTTATGAAGAAACTTCGCAGTTAATAGAGAGCAAAAGTGCTCAAGTGCACTGAATCAACTACCTTCAACATAATAATAATATTGTAAGCAGAAGTGCATTTATAAAATATCGATCATTTAGAATGCCTAAGTTTTGTTAAATATTTATTTATATGTACGATTAAAATTAAGAAAAAAAAAAAATTTAATCATGGTGATGGTTCAAATGAGATAAACTATCATTAATTGTTTAGGTTAAAAGTAATATATTGTGTGATTCGTTCGTGAAGACTAAGTAGAAGTACTACGCACGCAATTTGTTGACATATGTATATATAACTGATATATAATATAAATATCTATTTATAAAAATATATTAAATCTTTATTAGATCTGATGAAATACATAGTTTCAACATAAAAACAACTCTCTAAACGTTTGTATCACATTTTATAACATAATAAATAATGGTTGAAAAGGTGCAAGCTGCAAGCACAATCATGATTTACTGGACGTCAACGTCTACACTGCCAAAACTTTGGAGCTGACAAAAATTTATTCTATATTTTTGCACTTTCACCAGTATACCATAAAAGTGCGAGTTCTATTTTGGTTTCAAAAATAAAAGTTATTCCTGATTTTTATAATTTTACGGCAAAAATAACAATTATTTGTGCGCTTTAAAATAAAAAGCAGAGTGTAAGAGTTATTTCTGCGTCGAAAAATAAAAGGCATATAATAATAATTATTTTTGATAAATATAATATAATGGAAATTTAATTATTATTTTTTGAGTTTTATTTTAAAACGCTAATATATATAAAGCATGCACTATATTAAGTTAGAATGATATGTTAGAATGATAACGATATACTTAAATATGAGTTTAGATAAGTTTTTGTTCATGCTTTTAACTTAAAAAATTTTGAAAGAAAAAATTTTTAAATTAATTTCGGCATTTGTCCTGTAAACAATTATATATTTGAACATAAAATTACAGTCGAATCGCAATAAACGTACCACGATAAATCGAAAACCTCAATAATTCGTAACAAACTGCTGGTCACTTGAAAAAACCTGAATAATTCGCAATATTTCCATGCATTTTGGTTTCCTCGTTAATTCATATTTTATTTGATATTCAATGAACATTAAACGTCTTATAATTCGTTATAAAGAACAAAACACTTGTCTGTAAATTTAAGGTGATTCAAGAACATTCGCACCTTTCCAATGCCTTACCGACACAATAAGAAGGCGTGGATGACAATAGACCTATTTAACGAATGGCTTCAGATGTTGAATGATAGCATGAAAACTAAAAATTCAAATATACTGTTATTTATAGACAATCGTGCAGCGCATATTGGGTTCTCTAATCTCAGCCACATAAAAATAAATTTTTTGCCAGTAAATTGCGGCTATTAATACTGAGAGCGATGAGGATAATAGCGCCAGTGAGGAACGACTTATAACGAATAAACAGACCGAATCGGCCATTTAACAACTGCGATATTATGTTTTAAAGCCAAGATGTTGAATTTTCAGGATTCAACTGTGTATATTAAATTTATACTGTACTATAGTGAAGGGAGAGAAACTGCATACCATGTGCTTGGGAAGTGCCCGATACTGATGCACAAGTGGAAGAGGGTGTAGGAGGGTATTTCATGGATCATAAAGATTCAAAACTAGAAAAGGTGGGCTCTACACTGTCTTTCATTAAAGAAATCGGACTTGGAGAAACACTCTAACCTGAGTAAAGGGGACAATAGATCTTTTCGGTCGCAGTGCACAATCCCTTTTTTTTTAATAATAATAATAATATTAAATTTATCTTTATAATTTTTTTCCGATAAGCAAATAGTTGTAGATTCTCGCTTGATACTAGTAATATCTTTTTTAATTTGAGATGATACAAACATTGAGTGAAAGCAACTCAACAACTTCAATTAAAACCTCTTCCATTGTATTAGTGCAATTGTAGACAGCGAACGATTGCTATTTTTAATAACATACTCTAGTTTTTTTCTTCAAATAAATTTAATATTTTACAAAATGTGTAATACATTGTCATAATTTAAAAAAGTACGCAGTTATTTATATTCAATATTCGCGGTTCTTTAGTATAAATCGATTTGATGCCAAAAGAAAACTCATCTATTCTCACGTATTGTACAGAAATAAACACTTTCACCTAAGGTTAACCGCTTAGATCAACAAGATGCGAGCACACTCTTAAACCGGATAGTTCTTATAAGAGATGTTTTTTTTTTTAAATTAGCGGATTCAATAGCATTGAAAATACAAATAGAACTATTGATGGCATTAACAAGACTAAAAAAAGAGTTTGTTTCTGTGAGAATTATTTACTTTCACATAAATTGATAAAGGTTAGGGCAATAATATATTTCAATGATTTCATTATATTATTATGTTGAAGCTGTTTGAGCCAGTGCACTTGAGCACTTTTACTCTTTCTTAACTCGAGGTATTTCCAAAACCCCTCTTTACGCCTTGACTGGGTTATTGTTTATCACTTCATCAGACTAAGCAGTAATTGACCTCAGATCTGCATACCTCCCCGAGGAGTCTGTAACCACTCAGAGATTTAATAACGCGGTGTTTGTAAGTCTGTCAGTTTTCGCAAATAATTTCATTATAACAATAATCTAATTTTTAAGTAATGACGAATGACATGAAAACTTTTAAAAACAATTTGAGATTAATTAATTTTTCCATAAAAACAAATTGTGGTCATTGTTAATTAAGCATAAATCCGCACTCGAGTAATATGGCAACACTGTAAAGTACCAATAACAAAATGTTTTGTATACGAAATGTATACACGAAATGTATTTTGTTGTTACCGCTTTGCACTACTACTATAACATAGTACTATAGTAATATAGTATAATACAAATAATATATAGTACGCCCTATAGTTTTGTTCGATGCGTTTTAAGTTTAGATAGGAGTTATTTTGGTATAATAAGATGTCTTCAGAAATAAGTACTCTATTAAATCTCTTCAATTCTTAATTAAAAACTTTGACTTATGCCTTAGAATACCGGATCTCATTATATTAAATATTTACAGAGTCTCTAATACTAATTGTTTCTTT